GGGGGGGGGGGGGGGGAGAAAGGAATAATCGCAGAAAATTTTAATCGGGGTTTATTCCGGACCTCAAATTGCTTCTTACATGAGTTGACAAGATGATGAGCTCAGAGGCATGGGTTCATTTACCCAAATTAATCTTTCACTTCCTTCCAGAACACATCAAGTTTGTATTTTTCATGATTTTCTCTATCCCCTCGTGAAGTCAATATAATAATAGCCAAAATGCATCCAGAAACAAGGAGTTACAGAGATTCGAGGGGAAAGCCTTCGATTTAAGGAGGTAATGCATTCTTTCCAAAGGAATTCGGAAACGGATTTCGAAAACATTCGGCATAGGGTGGTTTGAGTGATGTGATCCGAGGTTCAACTGTACTCGAGATTTCAACCGTCTTCATTATACTCGGGGTAAGGGACATATTAAATCACTAAATATGACTTAACTACAGACCGATTCACGAATCCCCCGCCAAACAAAAATTATTTCTTCATGATCATCAATCATCAACAAGAAAAAAAAAACAGGAACACCCCTTCCGCACCTTCACAGGAATCACAAACGTTTTCAAACGAGAGAAAAATAAACCACGTCACGTCTTCTCCCCTCCCCCCGAAGAAGGAAAGATTCACATTATGGCACCGTCACCCAAGGATCCTCACAGATTTCCGAGTCATGTCAAATAAACGAGCCCCGCAACCCGGAGAGGTGCACTCTCGAATCATACTTCCGGCCATTGTCCGATTCCTCGTTTGCATCTTCAATCAGCGAGCTTCCCTGCACCACACAACACACACCAAGTTCATCAATCGCTGACATTCTTCTTTCGCAAAAATCCAAAAGGGCGGGTATCTCAAGCAATGCCCCTTTTCTGCGTCGTCGAGAAACACACCAACGTTTAAAAAAAATTTGCACACGACCAAGGCAGGCATCACAAGCAACACGTTCGAAACTCATTTTCCGCCTTCCGACGAAAACTTACATGCTTCGAAAGGATCAAGCACCCGATATTCACATTCCGCTCAATCTCCAATTTGAAAAAAACTTTTGATCAAACACAGGGATACAGCAGATAATAATGCTGAAACTTCAACTGAGCTTCCGGAATTATGCACGCAAAAATACCCATCAACCATTTGCCAAGCGACACAATCGAAACAGGACAGAGAGAGAGAGCGTAAAATACCGAACATTCAACTGATAAAAGCTTCGTACTGCCTTCGAACTTCCCGTGATTTAACCAGGTGAGCATCAATATGTTAGAGAATTAAACTACTCCTAGTATGAAGCCACTGCGTGGAAAAAAAGGTTTTACATCTGATAAACCCTTGCCGTTTGGGGAATCGTACACGCAAACGAAAATAATCACGCAAGAAGCAAAAAAAGAACGAAGTTCATGCGGTTCCGGTGGTCTGTGGCCTCAGAGTTTCGGCTTTGAATGCTGTTCGTCGGGGAGACTTCTGCCATTGCGAGTGAAACCCGACAGCTCCTAATCAACAGCCAGAACTTCTCTTTGAATCACTGACAAAATCCAAATATTCATGATATACTGTACGGAAATATTTTCTAAACGCTCGCCATACATTTTCGTTTCTCGCAACATCCAACTCTATTCCTATTAATTTCAACCTAACATCAGATATTTTCTTGCCCACTACACAGGCGTCGCCTGAATCATCGGCACATTTTCGAAAGGACGCAAGACAATTCAGAAGAAAGATACGGTTTTAATTTACAGTCGAACTTCAAGTGACAAGGAAAAAGTTTTCATTAAGGAAACACGAATATTTGTCGTGGGAGAGAGATAAGCATTACAGGAAATTTTCATCGGTGAAATTATTGGCCTTAAATTGTTTCTTAAATGAGTTGACAGGATGATGCACTTGAACTGGGTCCTTTTGAACAATTAGTCTTTCATTTCATTGAAAAACACATCGTTACAATTTTATTGCTTCTTTCCTGTGTCAATTGAATAATAGCCAAAATGTCTCCATAAAATTCGACTCAAGGTTTGCGAAGTAAAACCTTCGAGTCAAGGAGGTTTTCATCGCATTACTTCTCAGAGAATTCAAAAAGGGACTTGAAAAAAGTTCGGCAATCAAGGTTCAATTGCATCACGAAGAAAATGAGCAAGATGTAATCAAGTTACAGAATTCAGACGATTCAATAATTACAAGTTTGTCTTGAAATCACGCGCAGCTAAAAAAAAAAAGCTTTACAAACTATGAATTGTCACGTCTTCAACGCAAGTTCAAATCCTCGTGCATCAACATGATCACGTCAATAATGCGGTGATATCTGTTAAAAAACGTCGAAAAGCCTTGGTGATGATTGTTTCACCCAAATTCCTCGTCATTTCCACGATCCTAGCGACACCTGGTCGATCATTCTAAAAACTCAATTTAGGACAGTACGGTGAAGTGAAAACATTGTCTTCTGTCACACGTTCCAACAATTTAGACAGAGATCATTCCCTGGTTACACAGGCTTCACCACCACTGTATTGATACGAAAGCCAACTACACAACACTGTATTTCAATAACTCCACACAAATTTCACTCTACGGATTAACTTCAGGCCATAAATAACGACGCAACACGTTCAATTGAATACTGTACAACTCAGAGTTGAACTACCAACAAAGCGCCGGGGATTCTGCAACTACAGTACAGTACTGTATGAACTACGACTCGTAACTCGACTTAAACGAAAGGAAAAGCTCGAAGTACGGCACTCACCCTTGAAATGGAGCTAATCCCGGACGGATTTCCCGTCAATTCAGCGTCTAGACACAATTCCGTGTCAGCATTCTCTCCAACTTTTCCGTGCTCGTAGGCCTGAAACACGCATAAATTGAGTTCAAGTTTTGGTATTCAAGACTGAAGGAACTATGAAATGAATGCTCGATAAATTTTCAACGCTCATCGCATAACTTACCCATTCACTTTGTAACTACAGCACATGCGTTAACTCAGGAGTGAGTTTTTTCAATTCTTCCACTCATGAGAAAAAACTTGTGAATTTCAATACTGGCTGATGAGTGAACAGTTCACCAAAGGGGTCTTTCACAGTTCCTACACTATAACACTAATTTGATCCATCCGTTTCCGCATAGCCCCAGAAAAGAAGAATATGAGGCGACACCTATGTACAGCACAGTGAAGTCGAACCTTTTCTAGCCGAATTTCAAGGGACCAGCAGAAAAATTCCAAGTCATGCATAAAAGAAGAATTACAGTTAATTGTGATGTATGATATTCTGGACCTTAAGTTGCTTGTTAAATGAGTTGATAGGATGCTGAACTTGGGAGCAAAGGTTCATTTGACAAATTAGCCTGTCATTTTAATTCAAAACACATTGTTAAATTATTTGCTTTTCTCTTCCATTATAAAAAAAAAAGATCTCCAAAAGACTTCCAGAAAATTTGAGTCGTAAACGTTTGAGAGGGAAAGCCTCAGAGTACGGGAGGCTTCAATGCATTGTTTCTAACAGAATTCAGACAGGAACTTGAAAAAAAATTCATCTTTCATTTAAAACTCCATGCTTGGTAAAATACAGATTCCTGATTCGACGATCGTTCAATCGGTTTATTTTTTTGTGCGATCAAAGAACTACAGTATAATTTCTTTACACCGAACAATCGCTTCCAACGCAATCTTTTTTGTCCTCGCCCAATGGCCAAAATATTGAATGAGTTACTATACTGTACTTCACATCGAATTTTATTTTATTACCATGAAGCTATTTTACAAGTCTCGATGGCTTAGTTCTAATGAGGTTTTACAGTACAGTACTGTACTATACTCCAATCCAAATTACCCATGAATTCCAGTTCATTAAAACCTACGAGCAACCGAGAAACAGTAATTAAGCTGTTGCGACGTTTCAAATATGCGGCGAAATTCTCCCATCCAGCCATTACAAAATAATAAATCCTCAAGATATTAACCAAATATTGAAACGACACAGTCTAGAGTATCTAGACAATAAAAAATGACAATTATTAAATCAACGCTTTCAAAAAAAGAGGAAATATTACGCACATCCTCCCCTCCAAGAATGTCGAAACTCAAGGTAAAAAAAAAAATCGGAGGATAAGATCCGTGAGAAAAACAATGGCCTCCTCATTGTTCTTGCAAGCAGATGCCCAGCAGTACTCGAACGAATTAAAATTACTCAAGCAAGAGCCTAGTATTCATAGTCTCCGTAGCCATTCAGAACTCGGTTCACCCGTAATTGGTTCCAAGGAAAAATAATAATGTAATACAGTACTTCAAGCTTTTATATCAACAGGTCATGATCACGATGCCACATATCCTGAGGAATCCAAACTTTCACACTGCAAATTATGAACAGTTAAAAATAGTGAGATTGAACATGGAAAATAATTTCATCACGGGATTATAGAAAATAATAATGTATACGGTAGTTGAACAAAAATAAATTGATGCAATACCTTCCAAAGTCAAATTTCCAGGGACGAGCAAAAATGTCTGCCTAGGGGAGGTTTTGAGCAAGGGAAACAGCTATTTATGCTGGATATAAATACAGTATGATCTAGCTCCAGCAAATCCTATTATAAAACGTGATTGTGTTACAAGTAAGTCATGTTTTAGGTCCCTGCTCAATAGCTACAATGAGTTAGTTTCAACATTGATTTTCTATCAACAAAACTATCTTACTGGTCCCAATGACATAATTGTGATGAGATTTCACAACATAAAGAATTACAGTGAAGTTAAATTTGTGATATTTTTGGCCTTAATCTGCACAATAAGGGACTTGACATGATACTGAACAAATGGGCAATTGGCCTGATTTCACTCACTTCTTGTTGAACAGTATAAAGTCACACTTTAATGTGTTTCTCTTTCTTCAGAAACCAGAATACAGTAATTTCCACCAAGATTCTAGTTACAAAGAGGGGGAAAGTCTTCAAGTTAGGATTTCTATTACTGTACAGCCAAATCTCTTCAATCTTCAAGGGACCAGCAACAAAATTTGAGAGAGAGGTTTTCAAGTTAGGAAAAGGATAAGTTCTTTCAAAAGATGGACAGAAAATTAAAATTCGGAATATTATAAGCCTTGAATTGCTCATTAAATGCGTTGACAGGATGGAGAACTTGGAGGCAAGGATCTAATTTTTCTTTTGCTCCCTCCCAAAATACATCACTTTTTTTAGTTTCTTGCTTTTCTCTTCCGTGTTGGCTATACACTAATGGCCAACAGGCCTCCAGAAAATTCAAATAATTTAGGTTTGAAGGAAACATCCTTCAAGTTTGGACGGTTTTTTAATGCATAGCTTCTAAGGAAATTCAGACAGAGTCTTGAAAATCTGAATTTTCGAATCAGGGAGGTTTGAGTTTCCAAGGGGTCAACTGTATTTACGAAATGATTTAATCAAAGTCTACATCTTTGCATTGAAACTCTAGACGCAACACCTGATCATTCCCGAAGCAAGTGCTTTATCGAAATTCCAACTCCCACCTCATTGCATTAATCCTTCCTGAAATTAATAAAATTTCTCCAATTCCGGGTAAAGGATTTACAATATTCCAACTATTCAAAAAAAAAAATGTCCATCTCATCACAGGCGGATTTCCGAACATTGATTTCAACAATAACCCCCCCCCCCCCACAAAGAATCTAAATTTCTAAACACGCTCTCAACCAATGCAATAAAATGAACCTCAACGCACTTGCGTGAGCTGCTCAGTGGTGGTCAGTATCCTCGCCAGCGGGGCACAGCACACCGGCATCGTCTCCAGCAACGTTGGCCTCGAGTGCGTCAAAAACGGCTTCATGTAGTTGACGTCAAAGTTGGTCCACAACCTTGCGGCCCAGGCCTTCTGTCCCACTGCCGTCGGCGCGGGTCCTGTCGACTACTCGACCATTACAAGACACCAAAGAAGGGAGGAGACAAAAAAGAAAAAAAAGGAAACGGGATGCGTAAATAAAAGCAACGACGGTTGGGATCGAGACAACAACAAAAATCACCAAAAAATAAAAAGACACACCATCCTTTCTTTCACTTATGGGTTCCACCTTTTCATTGTTTTTCTTAGCAAACTTACGCTACATCTTGATAATAAGAACTTACGAAGACCAACTGACTGGATCCTACATTTTTCACGTGAAACGCAAATATCCTCCACAATCACCCCAACGCCAAACTAGAACGATACTGTACAGGATTATTTTCAGAACGTCGAATCAAACGTGGGGAGGTCCAAAAAAACAAGTGAGAAGAAAACAGGCATGTCCAAAATTGATTTCAACAATACAAAACCTCACGAAAAAGAAAAACGTCTGAACATACTCCCAAAACAAATTTTAAAATTTCTTCAGCATGACTAGGAACTGATTTCGAACACCACTAACAACATACCCGTCACGCCTTCTCATTGATCAAGAAATATTCGGGCTTGATACTTGAACAAAAGAGGGACCTTTTGCCGAATTCAACCCTCAGAAGCATTTCCGAACTTTTTTGGTCCGTACACAAACTCAAGACCATCAAATGGGATTAACTTCGAGGATATTATTCCGCCGATAAAGTAATATTTCTTCGGAAGCTCTCGTGTTTACGCTGAAATACATCGTCATTGACAATAAAAATCGGTAAATTATCTTTTCTTCGTACAGTACTTCAGGACCGCCCCAGGTATCAAACGAGTTTCCGAATACTGAATCCGGGAAAATAGAAACGGGGCAAAAAGCGTAGGACAAGAAATTCGGAACGAAAAGTGCGAGTGGAAGGAATAAGTCTTAGAAGTTCAAACAACAGGGTTAGTTTGTCACAACAACAAAATCGCTTCATTAGTTGGCATGCGGCAATACTCTAACAAGCATATAAGGAGTGCAAAGGAGTACATACCAGCCCATGTGGACCGAAACTTTCGTATGCTGACCGCTACAAAAATGAGACAAAAAGAGCAAAAAAACAGGATTGCAAACCGGGTATTCACACGGCTTTTCCGAACTCTGCACAACTCAAAAGCGAGGAAAGATTCGAGATAAAGAAAGAGATGGAGAGACACATAAAACGAAAGAGATACATAACGTTTCGTCAGTCCGCAGTAAAGAAACGAGCTCTTCTCACAACAATTAAATTGTAAGTTTCCGTTTAGGCCTAAGCAAAACAAGCCTTTGTATCAGGGGACGTAGAAGAGCATCTTGACGGTACTTACTTCACGACGTGTTGCATTCAGTATTTCCTGCCTCTCACTCTCATCCGATTGATTGCACCTGAGAGAAAAAAAAAATTATGCGTCAAAGAAATTCCCTAAAAGGATAAATGTATTCCTAAAAGCATACAAGGGTTTGTTCAGGCTTCAAACAAACGTTAAATTATTAGAGCTCTACGAAATACGACCATCGATTTCTTGCCCAATATTGAAAAGCAATTGAACTGAACACTTCCGTGTAATCTGTCAATATTTGAAGGAAGTTCATTGAACTTATTTTTAAAAATACAGTCAACCCCACATTTAGTGCCATCATTTTACCGGGTGCATTTTGTGGCACTAAGCAAGCGTGGTACTAAATTGCAGGTATCGTATACTGTACAAAAATTTAACAGGTTTCTCCTGTAAGCAAAATAAGCTGTTGTATTTTTTAAACCACTGAGTTTTTTCATCAAAAAGAAAGCCATCAGAATAAATTTGAACATCAAATGCTATGTTATACTGTATCAATATATTTAAATACAAATAAAAAGGCATAATATGAAAGATTTCACAAGTTGTGTCTAGTACTGTATAAGAACAGAACTGTTTCTTCAAGTTTTGTTTGATTTTGATATCAAGGAGGAATTTCCAATGCTTCCAGGAAAGCTTTCAGTTTCATTTAAAATTTTTACAATGAGGAACATTTCATGCAACCAGAAAAGTATGTTCAAAAACAGCAAAAACAGAATGTTCAAAATTATTTGAGTTCTTATATGAGCATTAGGCATATGATCCTCTGCAATAACCGAATGATATCCCCAGAAAAGACCTTAGTACAGTTGAACCTCTCCAAGTCAAATTTCAAGGGACCAGCAAAAAAAAATTGACTTTGGGAGGCTTGGAGTTATAGAGGTTTGAGTCAAGGAGCCAAGTATCCTTGAGTGGGAAATACAGAAGAATTGCACAAAATTGTAAATGGTGATATTCTGGGCCCTCAATTGCTTCCTAAAGGAGTTGACAGGATGCCAAACATGGAGCCAAGGGCTCATTTGCCCAATTTAGTCTTACACTTCCTTCCAAAACACACCCAATTCCATTTTTATAGCTTTTCTCCTGTCTGAGGCAAGAAAATAATAGCCAAAAGACCTTAGACAATCTGACTTTCAGAGGTTTGAGAGAAAAACCCTTCAACTTAGGGAGGTTTTTAAAGCATTGTTTTTAAGGGATTTCAGACAGGGACTACAAAAGAATTTGACTTGGAGAGGCTATGACTTATGGAGGTTCAACTTCACCATACATTTCGATAGCTTTCCATCTATGAGAGGAAATTTTTTAAGACACTGTAAATGAGTTACACAAAGGAGTATTTGTTCCAGGGGGAATTCAGCACAAAAACAAAGGTAGATTGTACATCGGTTCAGATAACTGCAACACCAGACACACAAACATGATGAACGGAGCTTGAATTCTAATGCTATCACTTTATCCACTCTGATAAAATATTGTTACTCTGATGCAATATATGTCCATCACAGTTCATCATTTAAGCAAGTCAGACATTATAGTAAAATAAACGGACGAATTCTTTCTCAAATAGGCAAAAACATCGCGGAAATGGAACTCACTTGATATTTAACCACACCAACATTTGACTCGTAGAACCACCACAAATAAACACGCTGGCGATGACGATAACAGAAGTCGCTGAAAGCATCAACTGTCTCGCAGTCGACAAAGTATTTCGGATTGACAAAGCAAAAGCAATCGCTCCTCTCAGCCCTGAAAATAAATCAATAAATTGTCTCTCCGTGTACTGTAATCAAAGAATTCAAATTTTCTCACCCGAGAAGAAAAGCATGTGTTGAAAGTTCGTGGTAATCTTGTGTTTTCGACCAAGGTTGAGCAAAAAGCACAGGGGGTAGATATTCAAGGCTCGTCCAACAGCAATTGCAACCTTGAAGAAACGAAAATCACATTCAATTTTTCTCAATAACCATCCATCTTCACGAGAAATACACGAGGGTTGGGAACATTTTTCCTTAAACATTTCAGATGCACCAGAAAATAACCTAATTTCCTCAATTTTTCACTCAAGACCCACATTTACGTGACTACCAAAATACAGGAGACAAGTTCCGATTTTGTACAGTTGAACCTCGACACCTTTCTCAGTCAAACACGTTACCTCCCTATGTAGATTCCTTCCAGCACCTTCCTTGATGTCCTTCAACCCAATAAACAAAAAACTTCCCCAAATCTGCACTTTCCTCCTCAACCCTCCATAACTAGAATTTTCTGAAGGCCTTCACAATATTCCTTTACCGACACAGGAAAGAGAAAAGCAATAAAAATGCAACTAAATGTGTTTTGAAAGGAAGTGAAGGATTCATTGGACAAATGAACCTTTGCCTCCAAGTGCACTTTCCTCCTCAACCCTCCATAACTAGAATTTTCTGAAGGCCTTCACAATATTCCTTTACCGACACAGGAAAGAGAAAAGCAATAAAAATGCAACTAATTGTGTTTTGAAAGGAAGTGAAGGATTCATTGGGCAAATGAACCTTTGCCTCCAAGTAATACAGTAAAAGAAGCAATTGAAGGCCCAGAATATCACTTACAAATGCTCCAACGATGAAGAAAACGTTGAAGTTGTGGTAGGGGAAGGTGAACAGCGAAACTCCGATGTAGCAGAAGATGAAATTCTCTGCCAGAAAGTTCAACAGCTCGAAGAACTCCTTCGTTCTGTATTTTGAGCTTCCGGACAAATTGTTATACGTGTAATGCGCCTGACAAATCCCGCAAAATAGCACAGCCACGATGCCAGTGAGATCCGAGGCTTCGGCCATCAAAAAGGCGGAATACGACATCAGCACGAACAGCGACGACTCCAGCAACGGAAAGTCTGACAATCTCGTAAACTTTGTCAGAATCGCAGTCAAGCATCCCATTCCGGATCCCAACATGAAAGAGAAGCCGAACTTGCTCGCAAAACTTCCGAGCGACGAAAAGATGGCTTCAAAGTTCCCTTGACCGATTTTGCTCTGGTAGTCTCTAACACTCTCCGTGAGAACGATTGCTACAGCGTCATTCAGTATCGACTCCCCAAAGACCAGGGCATACAGAGTCACATCCACGTGCAGATCGTTGAAAATTGCAAGCACAGTGACTGGGTCAGTAGCAGATATCATTGAGCCGAAGTACAAGCAATCAGCAAACGATATCGTGCCACTGCCGGGATCGAAAACTGTCACTACCCCGTAAATTATTCCGGCCACAGTCGCAGCTGAAATCACAGTTCCTACGAACGCAAGCGTCATGATAGCACCGAGATTCCGGAAGAAGTACCTCCTCTTCATACTGTATCCAGCGTTGAAAATTATCGGTGGGAGCAGGATGTTGAAAAAAATCTCCGGATCGAAAGTGGCTTTCACCTCGAACTCGTTTTCAGCGCCTGAAATACGGCCTTCGAAGCCATACGCGAAAACACCTCGTACTGCCGGCGAATCCGCTTTATCTGATATGTTCATGGATAACCAAACGCGGTCCGGTGGGATGGTTTCGTTCCAACCTGTATCGGCGGTGTCGAACGATATGTGGCTAATTCTGGTTCCTGTCGCGGAGTATTTCATGATCGCGCCTACAATCAATCCATACGCAACGGCAAGACCCGTTTCATGAAGGTAGCGCACACGACGATGCTTGAACATCCATACAGTCACGACAGTCAGCGACAGAAGCGCAGTGTATAGAAGTATGTTGAGACTATCAACCTTGTGATCATACTTCGCTTTCTCATCGAGAGTGACATCAGCGGGAGGTGCGGTAGCAAATACGAGTCCGTTGAGAAAGAGGAATGAGCAGAAAAGATGACGTTCGGGCTGCGACTTGAGCGTCATGACGCAAGATCCTGTACATAACAACACAACAATAAAATCCGATGATCAAACACACAAGATCGCGTCCGATGGGAAACTTTTACACGGCAAAATAACACAAAAATCAAGGCAGCAATACTTCGTCCATCAAATCCTCTCTAAAGCTCTTCGTCCAGGACAAAAAAACAACAAAAATCGGAGCTATCCCACTTGAAGGGAGCCAAGCTCTAAAAAGTGATACGCACCAGGTTTTCCAGCGGCCATTCGACTTGGTCACAGCAGAAATCGACGCTCATCATTCCATTCACATACAGAAAATGATAATCAACACGTCTGCAAAAACAGGAGTTTCAAACGTGAGACGAAAAATCATACGTTGTAATGTATATCACAAAAATAACAGCTGCTCAACAATTAATCGAACGCAGTTGCGCTACTCCGTACTCGAAAGAAAATCCAAGCGATCACTTCCCGTCAAATCCTCGCCTTCTCATAGGTGACACAATCATTTCCTAGAACTTGTCTCGCGCAAATACTTCCGAACGACGTCACCACGCACCATACTTATCTCGCACCTCTTCGCCGACTGATCAACCCACAATACTTCTTGATGTGAAGTAATGTACTTTTGGCACACCTCGTACACCAAAACATACAGCACAAAACCAATCTGGCATACCTGCTTCCACGAGAGGCCGGCTTAACCGCACATAGCGCTTCGCCATCTTGGAATTGGTCTAGCCGCTAGCCTAATGGAAGTACGAACATCAAACGATTTTACACTTTTAAGTTCATTATATGCAATATTTTGTTATGCGAAATGATTAAAAAAAAATTTTAAAATCATTATGTGCACACTTTTACCCCTTACAGGGTTTTTCTGTCGAAAAACGAACGCAAATAGGTACGTCCAAATCTGCGTATTCGTGCGTGCTGCCCTCTGCGAGCGTTGCAAACCGGCATTCGTACGACGACGGAGGAATAGTGCACGACTGGACGAGGCATCTGTGTCGGTTGAACATTTGAATTTTTTTCCGGTTCGTAAGTACGTCGTTCTGAATCATGAGTGCTGACGGCAAAGATGTTGCAGTGGAGAAGGTTGCGGAAGCCGATGCCGCGGAGCTGAAGGGGAAGCGAAAGGCTGAGGTGTGTTCGTGAAGTGTGTAGTGGTGGTACATGGTGTCTGAATTTCTCGTATCTCATCAGGAAGCCGAGAAGGACACGAAGAAGCAAAAGAAGGCCGAGGAGAACGGTGATGCCGAAGATGACGAGAAGGTAGACGCCGAGGATGAGGAGGAGGAGCCTGACGATGAAGACGTCGCCGAGGAAGAAGAACTCGACGAGGACGCAGAGGGTGAGCGAACGAAGTGACCAATGACTTGAGGTGAAAGTGCTAAGGGTGTCCTTATGGTGATTTCGCAGGTGAGGAAGAAGAAAACGAAGGTGATGACGGTGAAGAGGACGAGGACGACGCTTGAACAAGCTGCTATGTTATGGAAATTCGTTTTCTCTCCGCGCCTTTTCGATCTTTGGCGTCTGATGTAACTGTCCTTGAGCTGGCACATTGCGTTCGTAAAACATCGCGCTGTCTGGTGACCTCGATTTTCTCACGTTTCTCAGGCATCCCGATAATTTTGTACGAGTTCAGTTTGTCTATCGGTTTCTCACCCGTTAGTGTCTCCGCGCCGCGCTCATCTAAGTCACTTCTGATCTCCGAGCGCGGATCGTGGAGACGGCGTGCGTGACCGTTTTCTGCTCGAAGCGCGTTGCAGGGCTGCGTGATTCGTTTCGAGATTGGCAAATACAAAGCGTGTAAGGTTGAAAGTTGATCGTTGTGCCCAGGGAAGAGGTCATTTTCACATCCTAGACACTTCAGTTCAGATAGGTTGGAAATGATTATTTGGTCCGCGAGGTGATGTGGTTTTTTTGTGCGAATGGGTTCGTTTTCCTTTCTTGCATGTTGATCGAGTTTTTTATAACAAAAAAGTGAGGTGGGCAAAGCTGGAAAATGTTGAGCTGTTTGAGCGATGAATCTTCTTCGTTCTTGTCTTCCTCTACTCATTTCCCCAGACCTCTTCTTCAGTACATGAACATGTTTCTGGTTAGACGACAGTTTAAATTGGCAGGGGATTGTTAAATGTACACATCTGATTGAGATTTTGCGCGCGAGAGTAAGTTTATGACACTAGTAGCTGATGGGGTGGGGGTGTTATTCTGAGTGTAATGCAGGTATATATTTGAGCTTGCGCTAGGGTGGTTGATGCATATGAGCATGACCTTATAGCCTCCTTCTGCATCTGGAAGAGTATTATCTCTTTCATTATTGCGCAGGTAACTATGCAGGGCTGGCTTCCAATTAGGGTTGTTGCGTCACTGATGTACATTGTAAACTGTTGGTTCTGCTCCATCAATGAGTGTACTGTCAAGCTGCACCATCTTGCTTAGTCTGTTGATAACCTCAACATTGTTTCGCATGGAATCATCCGTGTATTATACCAAATCATGCCACCCTGGCTGTGAAGGTTAGAGAGGGATGTTGTGCACGTCTAATGCGCAATTTCAGACACCGTTTTTTCATTCAGTGAGCATGTATTCATCGTAGTTTGTGATGCTCTTAAACTGAAGGCACCTCAAGTGAGATTCAGCCCTTTCATCAACCTGTACGGAGCGGTTGACCGGCGCGAGACTGCCATGCCGGTCTGGAGAGGAGAGTTGATGCAGCATTCCCTTTATTTTGGGGATGCACCACCGACGACCGAGCCGCCTTTCATTTCCCGCGCGCCGACGTGCCTGCGTTCCCTTTGTCCTCCCCTTAGGGCTCTCTCCTAGTGGGGGAGGCCGGTACACTCAAAGATACGGGACAGCTGTGGCATAGTTCTCGCGGATTCTTCAGGGTTTTGCAGTTTGTTAGAAGTTGCGTGCCGCTATTAGCCGTTGGATCCAGTCACCGTCCTGTGTACTGCACTTGGGCCTTCAAACACTTTGCATCACTCTTTTGCCTCTACAAGTCCGACCATGGCCCCTTTTTCTGTGGATTTGGAATGCTGAAAGTCAGACTTGGGCTCATCAACTATGCATTAAACTTTTGTTCAAGTACCTTGACAATGGTGTATACAGTATTATTGCTCCTTCTTTGAATGTGTGTTCTACAATTTGGTTTGTGCTGCTAGTATTCCCATGAATTTTACTGCGAATTTAAATGTCTGGCTGAACATTGATGTACTGTATTTTATTTTTTTTTACAGATTCTCCCTATAATCATCGTCTATTACAATTTTCATCTATGTGTAATATGTTTAGTCCCAAAGCAGGCTCTCTCACCATGTAAAGGCGTTCTGTGAAAGCAAATTTGTTCATCATGTTCCCTTGTATTTCGCTGTAGGGACAGTTCATTTGAATGATGCTGTATAATTTTTTTTTTTGGGGGGGGGGGGGGTCAGCTGCATGAATCTCCATGTACAGCTTATAGATTTCACAACTTGTCCGAGGAAAATGTGAAATTTCAAATTGGTTTTATGCGCCTGGATTTTTGGTTACAGAGATGCATTTGTAGATGTCTCTCTGCATAATCTTGACAAAATTGTTTCATGGATGATGGTTTTACTCTTACAGCTGATGAAGAAGGTCTCAATGTAAAGAAACTGAGAATCCTTTCATAAATTGTCACATGAACACTGCCCTAATATTGCAGGGTATGAAGAGAGAAAATGTAGATGCTTGAAACATTCAGAAAATCATGTGAATAAGCTAATACTTCATGAAGTCAGAAAAGCAGAAAGCCTGTGCTGCCATTATTTTTGCATTCAAATTTCATTGAAAGGTCTTTTTCTATTGTCAGCTTCTAAAACTTTCTGTCGACTACCACGCTCGAAATGTTTGCAAGCAAATTGATGACATGTAATTTTGCAAATGAAGTCACTGTGCTTCATTGATTTTGTGAACGTCCTGGATAGGAGAAGGATACTCGCGGTACACCCTCTTCCTGCTTGTCTATACTCCACCCTACAACTGCTCATGCTGGGAAGAAGCCATTGCGAGCAGCTTGTCACCCTCAATACACAACCCTCCTTTCCTTCTATTTCATGGCATTATTCCTCCCATATAGCAGCTGGCTGAATTCCGGAGAGTATATGTTCCCAGGATTCCGCCCTGCTTCATCAGGCTACAGCACAGGAGGGTGAAGAAGAGAGAAAGACACGGCGTCATTCAAGAAATAAGGGCCAAAGAACCAGAAAGATGATGGAAACGGCAGCCAGGATGTTCGAACCCGCGCGCTGGTTTTTCACTGCATGAGGGGGGTTACGAATCTCATCCCAGTGCAATGCCGGTTCCCCTACTTAGAAGCCACGAATACAGTGCAGTACAATACTGTATTTCTATATGCACGTATATATTCTGTATACGTGTATATATATAGTCCTGTACTGCTCGGTTTTCTGTATTGTCCAGCCCGCACTGTATTGGGTGGCCTGTTTCCTGCCGACCATGTATATTCCGCGATGATGCGGTAGGAGGGGGTGAGAGACCAGAGTGTGTATACTGATGTATACTGCGCTACAATACTGTATAACACTCCCAGCTTGTACGATGGCTTCTTTGAACAGCCGGGACATGATTTGGGGATGGAAATCCTGGCCTTCAGTAGGACTGCTGCACAATAATTACTGCCATTGATTATGAAACAGTAAAAAATCTTGTTACATTTTGAAGCCATTGGAACTAGGTAAACATAGCTTTGTTTTAGAGAAGCTTGCATAACATTATCTTAGGTATTGCTGGATACTGCAAAGCAGGGACTTATAAAATTATTTTTCTGTAATCAATTATTTCTTGTAATAATAATTGTTATCCACAAATTTTTTTATGGGGTGCATGCATACTTTATCCTTCACCTCACATTGAGACCAACCTGACCAAGATAAGTGATCAAGATCTTCCAGTTGTGTCTGTGAGCTATAATACATCTTACAATTGAACCTTGCTAAGTTTTAACCTCACTAAAAGTCAAGTCACCTCCCTGGCCACTTTTTTTTTCAAGCCTCCACCTTATAGAAAGAATGTACTGTATTAAGAACCTCCCTAACTTGAAGGCTTTCCCTCTAAAACTGACAGCAGTCAAATTCTTTGAGGCCTTCAGGCTATTATTTTAGTGAAACAGGAAAGAAAAAATCAATAAAAATTGAATTTTTTTTGCTTGTCCCTTGAAATTTGACTTAGAGAGGTTAAACTGTATGCAGTACAGGAAGATCTCATGTACAACACAGCCAGGGAGATATCATGCACGCATCGAAGAATTTATTACAAAGAAATTCAAATTGCATTTTATCTAATGCACATTTCAAATCCCAATAAACTAATTTGTTTCGAGGTATATTTTCTTATGCCCATAGATTCCGATGAATACATTACTGCATTCCGTGATGAAGATACAGTATTGTACTTTGATGATGGACCTGTCGTCACCTGTCTGAATAGTGTATATATTGTACTTCAAATGAAATCAGCAAATATAATCTTCCACACAAAGATACATCAATGCAAATGAACCTCGAGCATATCAGCAGACATATATATTACACGCTAATATACTATGGCTAATACTATGAATAATCGAATGAAGTTTTATACTTCAGTATTGTACTGTATCATGATGAACCTTTCCTTCGCGGACAAACTCTCCGTAGGACACAGAACTATGGCACGCATATGCCCAGCGCCGGGTCTTTGTCCTCTGGGGTCAGCGCGCGCGCTTTCTCTGTCCGTCTCTATGTATGCATGTACAGTATGTATTTCTGTCTGTCTGTCTGCCGCCGGTACCCTCCCGGCTATACCTGTCTGCCAGCCAGCCGGCACACATGCGAGTGTGTGTGTGTGTGTGTGTGTGCTGTGGAAACCTGGGAGCCTCATCTGTCCTTGGGTGGGGCATTCCTTAAAATCCATTCCTTGCAATACCTGTATAACGCTGTTCCCATTCCTGCAGATGCTGTTGGGGTGGTGTTGGTGACCTGCGGAAGAATTCCCTGGAAAAGTTTTATTTTTCGATGCTATTAGTATATCGTCAGGATTGAGAAGTAATAACTGAAGTATGTTGGGAGTTTAGTTTGATGTAATGTACCTATGTTGTATATACAGAGGGGATCTATTTAAATAGCTGACATGATTAATCTGGCATTCCAGAGGTACCCTATATATATACAGTATACAGTATATGCTGTACAGTTAATTCTTGTTTCGTAGTAGCGATATATACCCACGTCTTCATGAATAAAAGAGGACCATCACAAGTATGATGCCACCTTTGAAATAGTATTTCTTCATGTATACAATACTGCATGTATATTAAGTTTGTTGAAATTCATGTTCTGAATAACGTGCTGATTTAGTATCTTGCTGGAGTTAAGCTAGTCTCACAATAAAGGTCAGACAATTATGGAGAAATTATAAAAAAGGGGAAAGCATTCAAGGTATACTGTTGCTCATATATAATGGCATCATCATGAGCAAGGCGTTGTTAAATGAATATATCCTTATATACAAATTTGAAATTACATTTTTGCATTTTTGAAATTATTTTTTTCTGTATTTGAGTGACATTTTATGTATTTATGGCATATGCTGTGCTTGCAGGTTTTATTCACTCTGCAGTCTGAATTATAGCTGCCATGATGATTCCTGATGATACATATTACTGTCCTTTTGGTCATCTATTTGGCAATTTGTCACTCACAAATTGTGCCAGGGAATATACTGTATATAGTATACAAATACAGTGAGACCCCACATGCAGACACCTTGACCTGCAGACAATTTGACATAGGGGCACTTATTTTCCCATAAAAATTCAATAAAAAAAGGCCCAACATGAGGACACTGACTCAACATAGGGACATTTTGTGATAAAACTGCAAATTAATTTCATGCGAAATTACAAGAAACAGGTATTTCCAACCCTAAAATTGATGTACGAAAAGTTCTTGGGCATTTCTCTCAACAATTTACCCCGCCCCCATTTAGCTAATTTTATAAAAATTACCTCCAGCAGAGTGGGACCTCCTTTTCCTCTTTTTTACT